TGGAAGATCCCAAAAACGATAAGAGATGTCCAATGTTTTTTGAGATTTGCCAACTACTATCAGATCTTCATCAAAGACTTCTCTCGAGTTGCAGCTCCACTTACACGTTTGACTTGTAAAGACAAATTCCAATGGAATCAAGAAGCGGAAGTTGCTTTTGAATCTTTGAAGACAATGTTTGTTTCTGCACCAATCTTATATCGTGTTGATTTTTGCAAAGCATTCTTTGTGGAAATAGATGCATCAGACTTTGCTCTGGATGCGGTTTTATCATCAATGGGAACAGATGACAAACTTCATCTAGTAGCCTTTCATTCAAGAAAATTCTTAGCAGCAGAAATCAATTATGAGATCCATAACAAAGAACTTCTTGCAATTGTGGATTCTTTTCAAGAATGGCATTATTATCTAGAAGGCGCTTCCAGTCCAGTCAATGTATATATGGATCACATGAACCTCGAATATTTTATGTCAATACTCGTATTAAATCGTTGTCAAGCTCGTTGGAGCATGTCTTTATCAAGATTCGAGTTCATCATCACTTATCCGCCAGAAAAACAACAAGGTTTGTCCAATGCCTTGTCTAGACGTTCTTATCTTGCACCAAAAGAAGGAGATGCAGCTTTTGAGCAACAAAAAACAGTTCTCTTGAAGCCAGAGCAATTTCATCTTCGAGCAATAAAATCAACATTGACTGTTGATTTAACTTTTCTTAAGTAAGTCCAATTAAGTATGTCTTCAGACCCTCTTGTTCATGATATCAAGAATAATTCTTCTAAATCTCATGATCCCTCTAAATTTGAATTTAAGGACAACCTACTCTATTTCGAAGGACGCCTATATGTTCCAGAAGGAGAAGCACGTTCACATATTCTTCAAGTTCATCATGACTTTCCAACAGCATGACATTTTGGATATAATAAGACTTTAGAGTTGATATCTAGGGATTTTTGGTGGCCTCAAATGTGGAAGGCAGTCAAAGATTTTGTACAATCATGTGATGTTTGCTCAAGATCAAAAACTCCTTGTCATCGACCTTTTGGACTTCTTTAGCCATTACCCATTCCAGAACAACCATGGTCTTCTGTTTCTATAGACTTCATCACGGATCTTCGAATCTCAGGTTCTTATGATTCTATATTCGTGATAGTAGATCGTTTTACCAAAATGGCACATTTTGTACCATGTACAAAATCTATCACAGGTGAAGAAACAGCTAAGTTCTTTCTTGACAATATCTATCGCTATCATGGATTATCCAAGGATATTATATCAGATAAGGGAACTCAATTTGTATCAAGATTTTGGTGGACTCTTTTCAAGATTCTAAGAGTGGATATAAAACTATCTTCGGCATTCCATCCTCAAACTGATGGACAAACGGAGTGTGTTAATCAAGTTTTGGAGCAATATTTAAGATGTACCATTAACTACCAACAAGATGTTTGGACAACTCTTTTGCCATTGGCAGAGTTTGCTTATAATAACACGGTACATTCTTCTACAAAACAAACACCTTTCTTTGCTAATTATGGTTATCATCCATGACTTGATACTTTTGACTTTTCAAAAGTTGATAATCCTTCTGCGAAAGATTTGGCGATTCATTTATCAGAGCTACATGCAACGATAAAGGTGTAGTTAAAATAGGCTCAAGAACAACAAAAGGTCAATGTGGATGTCTATTGAAAGGAACAAACACCATTCCTCTTGGGTGATAAGGTATGGCTACTTTGTCACAATATCAAGACCACTCGTCCTTGTGACAAGTTGGACTATCGAAGGCTTGGACCATTTTCTATTTCTGTACAAATCAATCCAGTTGCATATCGTTTACATCTATCGGAGTCAATGAAAATCCATCCAGTATCACATGTGTCTCTTCTTGAACCATACAAGACAGTAGACATACCATGAAGAAGACAAGCTCCACCTCCTCCTATAGAAGTGGACAATAATGAAGAGTTTGAAATGGAAGAAGTCTTAGATTCAAGGCAACGCCAAAATAAATTGGAATAACTTGTCCATTGGCGCGGATATGATATTAATGAACGCACATGGGAGCCAATAAAGAATCTTACAAATGCAGCAAACGCGGTGGAAGCTTTTCATTGACGACATCCATCAAATTTAAGATGAAACCTTTTTTATAAAAGAAACAACATCTAGGCAAGATAACATTCTACTTTCAATCCTTGTTCGTAGCTTCTTTGCAGTTGTGACGCTCAAGATATGGAAAATCAACAACCAGCGGATTCGATTCAAGAGCCTTCATTTGTTGACTTGTGGGACGAGACATTACGATTGTCACAACCTTCAAGATGATGCAATCGAGATGAAGATCTTCAAGAATGACATATTCTTCCTCGAATAGATGGTGAGATACAACGCATCTGGTATCACGATTTGGGAAGGGACTTCCGATGTTTAGTGATTTTGCTAGAGGTAGGAACAACTCCTGATGGTATTCCAAATGTTCTATTCGAATGAAGTTATGAAGGCCTCAACAATGATCAAATAACTAGGTGGTCATCCTGCCTTGGTATGGGACACTACCGATGGTTGAGAGGCCCTATCAATCATCTTCGAAGAGAACAAAGATCAGAGTATGCGGCAAATACAATTCGTCGCATCATAGATTTCCTCAACATATGATGACCACTCCTCATAGAACTCCTCCCTAGAAGGGGGGGTAATGTCACGGACATACTCATGTAAGCTAGTAATTACATGTACAAATAGGTGGAAGTAAATAAAAATAGATAAAAGTAAGTTAATTCTATAGTATTTAATATGGAAGCTTCCTAAAAGCTTCATAGATTTTGCTTTGACTTCATAGGTGTCTTTAATTGACTTTTTGGATTAGAAACGTGGTCAACAAGTTGGCCATGTGCCACACATGTTATTAGCTTGAAGATCAAGCTAACTATGTGGCCCACACGTAGAAAAACTTGCCTTGTAAGTCAAGGCATATGTCCTATAAAGTCAACACATATTGGAGGTCCTATAGAACGTCGCCACATAGCCCTTAATTAGATAGTATATATAGAGACAAGAGTGAAGCCTTCTTCACTATTGTCAACTCCTTTCTTGCTTCCAGTCTAGTTCCAAGGGTCTCTAGTTTTCTTGTCTTTTGGCAATAGTCATTCTAGTTTTTCTTTCAATATACATACTTATTTATTTATATTTTGTTATCTTTCTTTGAGTGAAGGCTCACTTGTCTGAATTACTTTTTCATCGAGTTCTTGTCCTTAACAGCTATAGAAAAATTGGCTTTCAAAAATACAAGCACATGATGTTATTTCATGTTAATAATATAAACATATTATAAAATTTATAGAATTAATATATATATATATATATATATATATATATATATATTATTTTTATAATTCATAAATATAATTTAAAGTTGATAAAAGAATGAGACATGAGAATAAAATAAAATAAATTGTATAATATTATATTTTTAGAATTAAATAATAATAACAACATATAAGTCAAGAGTAGTTTTTGATGTAAAACTTTCTAAAGTAGAGCAATAAAACTTGAAGGAATACAATTTTTTTGTTCTTCCATTAATTTTGTAATATAGAGTCCTCATTATATTTTGTTTTTAAAAAATGTATTTGCATGTATTGATTGATTTTTTCTACTTTTATTGATTATAAAGTAGTGAATATCTTGAAGATATCGCAATTGTTCATTTGTTCGATTTTGTATTATAAAAAATACGTAATTTTGATATTTCTCTCATTCAAATTTTTAAAGATTTGCTTTATTTTCATATTGTTTTTACAAAGTAGTGTCATTGTCCATAGAAATCATCCTAAATTAATTTTTGATATTTTAGAATTTAATAGTTACCAAAGGTATTAAAATTAGTCAAAAAACTACTGCTTAAAGAAAATATACATAACTAATATTTTTTATTAAACTTTATTACACAAAAACTACATAGAATTTTTAAATTTTATTATAGAAGATACTTGGTATTTCTTTGAGAACACTCATTTTAGGTGTAATTTTGTATAATAAGTAATTAAGTTTTATTTTCTTTATAAAAATAACATAATCACAATACACATATCAATATATGTATATATATGTGTGTATATATATATATATATATATATATATATATAATTTTCAATGGCTATTTTTTTGAAACATCTTTTCTACACACAAATAAAAGTTTATACAACTTCAAACTCTTTTAAAGAATAAATCTGTGTGTTCAATATTTTTAACATAATCAAAGATGGTATAGATGGTGGTGATGGAAATGATGTCAGGTCAAGGAAGTGGGGTCGAGGTTAGAAATGGGGTAGGAGATATGGAGCTTGTACTAAAATAAATCATGAGGTAGAAAAGGAGATGTGGCTTTAATGAGTTCCTATTAAAAATATCAAATAATTAGTACTTATAGAAATGTATTTACATATTTTAGAAGTTATGTTTTAAACCAAAAACAATATCTCTAGTTTAAGAAAAATCTTAAGACTTGTTTGTTTATTAATCTTCTTTTAGAATTTAAAATCAAAATTGTAAATGATCAAAGCTAATATTTGTATTGTAGCTACTCTTAGCTTAAATATATGAATAATTTTTTAAAATAAAGAATCAATATGATTTTTCATCTCTAACAATAAATTAAAAATCATAAAACCTTAGATTTGAAATTGATTCTTTAGACAAACATTTGAACAGTTTAAATCTTAAATTAAAATTTAAAAGACATGCTACAAGTTGGTACTTATTGCTACATATCATATCAAAGTCATTAAATATAATAACCCTACTTCATTCAAATTCATCCAAATCAAATATAAATCGATACTATTCTCTCATCTCTCTAAAAAGCACCCACCCGCACACACACACACACATATATATATATATATATATATATGAACATAAAGCTACTAATGATTACATAAAAATTAAAAATAAAATCTTAACAAGTAATGCAAAGAACATATTTGAAATCCATGGTGGCGTGTTTGAACTATCTCATGCGATATTTTCACCTCAAATTATCCTACAAAGTGAAACCTCCATTGCACGGCAGAGGTCCAATCAATACATTAAATGGTATTACACTAGGATGGTTTGGGCAAAATGTGATATTCTGTTTGATGCGGTAGCTTTACTCCTATCCGAGTGTCGATGAGAACTTAGTGGATGACATCAGTATTCTTTTACTATTAACAACATGCCACACCATCCTATTTTTGAAATCATGTTTGTAATACTGTAAGAAGTCCTGGATGGGCTCTAAAATATCCAAACAAAACTAAATAGAGCAGTAAGAGTAAGCTACCAGTGCATACATTACAAGGTTGAGAAGTACTAATAATCAACTATATTATTTTGGGATCTAAGCAGCCAAAGCGAAGCCCAATCGCTGGTTCCCGAAGTCGAACACCGTATGGTAAGCCCCCATGAACACATCTCCAAGAATCCTAATCACGTGCACAGGTTTCACAATTCAATTTTGAAAAATATTCTATATTCGTGAGAGAATAAAGGGAAACGCCTTGCATGAAAAGAAAACAAACGATTGAAGACCGCACTCAATTTTCCGACTTCGTGGCATCCATGATCTAGAAGACATTTACTTTGCTATTCATTCTAACTCCTAAATGTCGTTATTCATAAATACAAATATTTCAATGGAGATGATGCATACCACAACGGTCCAGCTGGTGGTGGAATATCAATTCCAAGGAAACCACTTGTGCATTGCGCATCATCACCTTCGCCCACTTTCAGAACATACTGAAGAAAATCGCGCATCGTCAGCAAAAATGACAACATCCAGTTTGTGGGAAAAGAAAAGAAAATGCGTCATAAGGGAAACTGTGAATTATGATTGTCTTGAACGATATCCAAGTAAGTGAACCACTCTAAGCGGAAATGGCAATACTGGGAATCTTGTGGATCACCTTTACGTTCCTTTTACAAGGTTTCATCTGGCTTTAACATACCTGCTCAGGGGTAAGCTTGAATGTCGTGCCAGAAATGGTGAAACTAACATCCGGCATTGATGATAAACTATTGCAATCCACCATGGATTCTCCATTTGGATTCGGAAGACGTTCACAAAGCTGCAACAAATGACAATGAAGAGGTTGCATATCAAATTGCACAAGTTCTGCACTGTGCTTCATCCGCACCAAGTATCCGTCAATAAATACTGTGTTTGGTGTATTCAGTTTTCAATCATTTAAAATTCAAGAGAACTTTAGGATACTCTGCCTTTCCTGACCTAGTAATATCTGAAATAGATTATTACTATAACAACTTGTATTTTAGATTGATACCTGGTTCAAGTGTTCCTTGATTTGGGCTTGAGTACCATTCTTCCTCAGCTGATTCTGAGCCCAGATGACGACCATCTCGCAGAAGACACACGTTACTCCATTGCCCAAATCATTTTCATGCTTTTCAAGCACACTAGCAATGTTCGGGTTCCTGGAAGAAGAAAATTCAATTATTTTTTTTGACAGTCAGTAATTATGGTTTGAATTAAAAAGAAGTAAAATAAAAACAAACTAGCACTTCTACAGTTCCAGTAACTTCAAGGCGAAAGAAGTAAATAAATTTTCCACCTGTTTGTTCTCTCTTAATAAGGTTAACAAGTTAATAGACTCTAACTGCTTTCTGGAACTGCGTGATGACCCAGAAAGCAAACGAAAACCTTTGCACACACCTTGTTGAGGTTCCTTCCTCTACAAGGCACGCTCCAGCTTTGGCACATATTTTCAATGGAGTAAGAAGCTGCAAGGAAAAAGTGGGAAAGAATCAGCACATACATGAGAAGCACGAATTCCCGCCGATTGGAAATTGAATGAAGTAGTTACGCTTCATGTGCAACTTATAAGTATGCAAAATTACTCAAGTATGAAACAACATACATAACAAGACAACATTCTACTCTAATTCGATAGTTGTTATAGCTAAATGACATTATTTTATCAATCACCTTGGACATGAGCATCTGGATGATGAAATCCGCATATTGGTCAACGACTAACTTGCACTCCCCGCTAATGATGCCTGTAGCACCAATAGCATAATTGATCTCAGCTACGATACCCTATCAGACAACAATCCCAGTACATAAGCACTTATTAGAGACAAATTTTCAAGTGGCATCACTTAGAATAGTAGGCAACATCCATATCTGCATTCAATCGGGAGAGCACCAGTTGTCGCGACCATGAAATACATTTACTTTGGCTCTGGGCAGGAACTAACCGTAGGACCAGCTAACAGAGAAGTTCCGGAATCTGCAATTGCAGCACATCCTCCAGCACAGAATCCTGCAAAGAGATTTAAGATAACTCCTAATCAGATGAGATCTATGGACTATGCACTTGTAGTGATCAGGTCAGATGTTCGATGCGACTCTACATCATAGACCAGAAAATCCAACATTAGAATGATTTGCTACTTGCCTCATACACCATGGACCAAGTGAGTTGTACGTTAAAGATGTATATCGGAGCTATGAAGTACATTTATCAAAAACAGTTACTTTCATGTTATATTACTGGCTCATAGAGAAAGAAAAAGAAAACTCACCAGTGCTCTGTCCATCTAAAAGTACGTCACCCATGTCGAACTGCACCAAGCGCAACGAACACATTTAAGAATCCAAATGTATGTCAATGAGACAATACTGAACTAGGAGCTTACTGTGCACTAAGGAAAGTAGTATTCCAATGAAATCTATGATTTTAAGTTTTCATCTTTCATAGCTAATGATTTCAAACCAGCAGAGACGTCAGTTTAAGAAAAAATGATATGTAAAAATCGTTACAAAATGTACCTGCCAGTATCCTAAACGGGTGACAGGTGTGTACGTGTGGTTGCCTTTAAAATGATGCGGATCCACTCCGCCCAAGACAAGCTCCCCACCTTTCTCTCCTTCTACATCCCGATTCAACCAAAACGAGAATACAGGTTCTTGGACCAGCTTCTGGTACAACATGTTGTACCTAAGGCATGCCACTGAAAAAACTTAAACTGTTGCCACTAAGTCACTTTAACAAAAGAATTATTATAAATACGCATTCAATGTTGTTCACAAAAAAACTCTGAATCATGTCAGACACCTTCCCCTCTTGTAATTCTATGGTCAACAAACAGACTCAGATATTAGAAAATAATTACACTTCCAAGTATCACTCCGTTCTAAAACAAATTAGCTGCATGAACGGAAAGAGTAATGTTAACAACAGGTAAGGCATGACAAGGACCAAAGGACCAGGTCAACACATGACAAGACTGCATTGCTTTAGTGAAGAAGCATGTTACTAAAATCCCCTGAATTTAGCAGTATCTCAAAGAAGAATCAACATGAATGTCAACAATAGAAAGAGTTGCTGATGCGAATCTGTAATTCGTCCCGTATTGGCTCACCACACAGGATTTACGTCATTGACTGAAATCTCTTTAAAGCCTAGACCAAGAATTCCATCCATTTCAGCTGCCAGAAAAGTAACGCCCGGCTCTTTGGTTGCTTCGGCGAACACCTAATTTAATAATTGAAACACAGCACCAGTTATGAAATTGTTTAGTTGACATCCTTCCAGTCCCTATATAAGAGTGATAAAAGCCTAGTACAGGAGCAGAAACCCGAAGCTGAAGAACATAACACGCAGTTGTAAAAGAATTTAGGAAATACTAATGTACCTGTGCTTTAACGGTGAGGTCACCGAGGGTCACATCGTCGATGCTCAAGAAACCTTCCATGGATCCTGTGCCATATTGGATGGCAAATGGTGTACCTATGTAACATCCACCACAAAATGACAACCAGTTACATTTAAAATTTGTATGTATATTCATTTCAGAAACAACCAGCTTTGAAATTTAACCCTCGGTTAAGACATTCTACAAAAAGACCACTGGTACGCAGACCTGAAGTCTTCCACGGCAGGGTAAGTTGCAAAAAGATCCTAACCAGTATCATGCACTAATTGGGAATAATGATAAGCCCAATTCAAGGCCAAAAGTTGTCCCAAATTAGATTAGACCAGGTAACAAGCGCCTGATGGGTACTTCATGTTAAACATCAGCCTTAAAACGCATGACAATCACATGCAGGTGTTCAGGGTTTTAGATTTTTGCCGCCCATCATAAATCAAAAGGAATGTGAAAGCATAAGACGTACCATCCTGTTTGTACGTACTGGACTTTCTTGCCTTGTACCTGTGGTGGAAGAAACACGCCAACTGCAAAATCCACAACGCTGATGTGATTCAACGACAAACAGGCTAATGTAGCCAATCGCCCACTGGGGAAACCAACCGCTACACACACACTGAAACATCCTAAGAGCAGGATCGGTGGTGAGGTACACAGGAATTCAACCTGGTCTGACAACCTCACATGTCTAAGTTGAATCGTTACCCCATCACGAAATTCTAGATACATACAGGTCAGCGCTTATTTTATCTTCATGAACCATGAAACACTCACACGTAAGTGGCGTCACAAACATGTCACCTTCTCAAAGTAACGTAATCGAAAAAGATCATTGTCGAACACGCAACAATTCAATGCGGTCATGGTACGGGTTCGCTAATCACTGCCTGCTAGCCGACGAAATATGTGGTTAACACTTCCATGAAATCGGTGAGAAGAACAGAAATCGGCAATTGAGCGAAATTGTAGCGATGAAATACTGCCATACCGAGAGGTAGCACTTCGCCGACGGAACCCACAAATTCGAGCTGCCGGTATCGAAAACCACAGTGAACTCTTGCTTTGGGGTCCCGATCTCAATCACCCCATAGTACTGCGCGTCCAAGTAATTCACCAGCGCCACTTCATCACCACCACTTCCAACCCCTTGCCCTCGAGTCCCTCCCCGCGCCTGCTGGGCTCGCATCCGCGACGCCCAACTCGCCTTCCTCAATTGTTGAAGACTCCATCGCTGCTGCTTCAACAGCACCCTCCCCTCCCTCGTGGCTGCGTCACTCACCCCCACATACAGCGCCACCACCACCAACAACAACAGCAACCGCACACAACGGCAGCCCCACAACGACGCCATGGACACGACGAAAACACAGTCCCCCCCCCCCCCCCCCCCCTACTGCGCGTCCATCATGCTCATCCCGCATTCCCCTCGCCGACTTTCCCTTCACGCAAGCAAGCCCCCGTTTCTGCGCCTCGGGCACGCTTCTCCACGCCGACACACGGTTATGGGTATGTACCGTGACTAGTGCGGTGGTGGGTGTTGGCACCCACGGCTTTTGGTGCGGCGGTGGATATGTGTGTGTGGGTGTGATCACGGCGATGGGTGTCTCTGTTCCTCTCACTCACTCCCTCAGTCAGTCAGTTAGAGAAAGGAGGATGCTTGGATAGCCAGTCCCCTGCAATGAATAGGGCAAGACCCATTCTGTCCTTCCTTCCCACTCATCTTTGCAGTTGCTTTCTATGCTCTATCTTCTCACGCAAATGTGGGGAATGTGGGGAATGGGTATGTGGTTTCAAGTCTTGCATAAACCATAACAACAGTGGAAGCATACTATGATACCATGTGTTATGATGAAGTCACTGTTTGTGAATTGATTGCAATCATGGGTACTGATGATGATGCATATGTTTTCCTTATTCTAACAAATCGTGTTTTTCTTGTTGTCTTTTATTGACAAACTAACATCTACTTAATCAAATAAATACGTATGTATGTGCTAATAATTGTGGCACGAATATAAATGAATGAAAAACTCTAAAAGATTTTCCTTCAAATTTTATATTTATATATATATATATATATATATATAATTCTTTAGAAAATATACTTATTTAACTAGATAGATAAACATCCATATTCTTGAAAACAGACCTTGGTTTTTTTTTTAAATGAATAAATGTTATGTCTAATTGTGTTCAAGATTGGTTCTTGAAATAGAATAAGATATATGAATAAATGGATTTCCTATTAAATAATTGCATCAAAGATTATTCATAATTATGAGCTCTTTTATAGTTGACAACTGTATAATAATTTTTTGGCTCATACTAAAATACTATAATTTATTGCTCTTTTTATCAATAATTACAAAAAAATTATTACAACATTGTTACCAAAAGATATAACCATGTTATTAGAAAAAATATATATATTACTTAATATTTGAATTTGTATCTTAAATAGAAAATTACATAATTACATTTTTGGAATAAAAAATATCTACTTTTGGAATAAAAAATATCAACAATCAAGATATGTCTATTATGCTTTTGGTATAGCAATAACCATTGTAACCACAAAAAACTAAGATATAATTCCTATCCACCCTTGTCACAACCATTCTTTTTACCATCATTGCTTCACTACCATTACCACCATTATCTACCAACAAAATCAAAATTATTTGATTTACTAGTACCACTAATTAAAATGGTATTTAAATCAAATCTTCAAATCGTTTATTGCTCCATAAGATCTATCCTTTAGTTAGTTGATTGTTGGATTTTTTAATCTCGTGATTATTGATGTAAGTTCTAATAGTTATTTATGTACATTTTTTTATATTTCTTATTATAAATAATACAATTAATTTATATAAATTCTAGGATATCTTTCATGTAGTGCTATTATTATGTTTTTTGGTGCTACCTTTGTGGCAAGCATCAGAGTTATTATTTTATATTTTTTTGGTTGAAGTTGTCAAATAATAGAATGACCTATAAGTGATGTTGAAGGCTTGTGATTACAATGACTATTTTTTACTATAAAGTGCAATTATATATTACCTTGCAAATAACATAGATGCAATTCAAATGGACACCCAATCAATTAATTTGTTGTATTTTTTTGATAGATAAAATTATTTTGTTAACTAAAATTTTTTCCATTGTTACATTTACAACCTATCTAATGCTTGTTACAATCTTGTTTGCAAACCACATATCCTTAAGCATATCTAAACTTTTCTATGTTTTCTTTTATGTCTTCAAAAAATTTAAGAGACATATGCATTTTTTTTTTATTTCAAAATGAAAATAATGTTAGAATAGAAAAAAATTTTCTTTTCTTATTATAAATATATATATATATATATATATATATATATATATATTCTAATAGTTATCTAGATAATGTAGATAGATAGAAGTAGGTAAAAATAGATTAATTTGATAATATCTTATAGGAAAGCTTAATAGATGTTGTTTCACCTTTATATGTGTAAAACAAATAATCAATTGATAAGCAAATAAATAACATTGTATATTCTTTTTATTCTTTTAATGCATGTATGAAAATATCTTTTAGATATTTTATTTTTTTTTAATTTTTAAACAATTTTTGTAATATTAAAAATTATTAAATATATTTTGTAATATTTGTAATATTTTTCGACTCTTAACTGTTGTTCTAAATATCTTACATGTCTTTGGTATATATATTTTTTTTAAAAGAGAGGTATGTAGGTGTAAATCAATATATATATATATATATATGTACATAGTATTTTATTTTTTTAATACTATGAGAAAATATGTAATTTTTGAATATTCTATTGCTAATAATATTTACATTGAAATAGAATTTTAAAAAAATGAATTTCATCATGCAAAAGGATCTTGATTTGTGACTATTCATAAATAATGTTGGAATTTGTTTTATTTACTTTATAATTAGCACACTATATATTACTATAAAAGTAAAAGATAAAGTTGTATTGTTTCTATAAATAGCATAAAAGAGTAAAATTAAAAATCACAAGTCATATACGTATGTATATATGTATGTATGTATGTATGTATGTATATATGTACAAGAAATATTTAGTCATGAATAGATCATGGAATATTCTATCCTATTCTATTATTTAATTTTTAAGGAATACTGCATGATTTACAATGCAAAAGTTTATAGTTGATTAAATGGATGCAATGATGAATAGTAGAATTTTGTACATGTATAAATAAAATATCTTCAAAAGTAAGAAATGGGAATAAATAAATAAATAAATAAATAAATAAATAAATGAAAATAACACGATATTATTAGTGTACACTTTGATTGATTAATTAATTAATTATGTCTTTTTTTTTTTAATTCAGCTAAAGAATGAAATAACACATATGTATATTTTGGTAATTTATTTCAACTTTAAATAATATTTATTAACAAATTCAATGTATTTGTTCATAAAAATTGATTTCAAATATATTTTCAATGAAAATGTTATAAGCTTGAAATATTATATTACATTTTTCTCAGAAAAAAATAATTCAAAGTATAAGAGAATAATTTGCAAGATGGTCAGTGCGACTAAGATGTTTAAGACAAGATGAGATAAGTTAAAAAATAAATGGAATATATACAGTAGGATTATTTATAGCTCTTCTGCAATCACAGCTATAAATTTTTAAAAAATTACAACATACACAATTTCAAATACCAGAATAATTATAGAAGTCATAATATATTGAGAGAGAGAGAGAGAGATATATGAAATGTATTTCATTACAGTGAAATTTATAATTTAAATGTTGTTGGCTAAATGATATAAAAGATTTACATACAAATGTGTTTACTGGTGACGTTGATCCGATCAAAAATTGAATCGTGCATTTGTTTTCTTATGTTTGATGAACTGTCACCAGTAAAACATATGTTTATGATTTATACACAAAGTTGTAAATTTCAATGCTTAATTGTTTGAAGTAGGACAAAAAAGTCACAAATTACTTTTCCACGTCATGCAAAAAAGATCTTTATACCCCACAATGTTTCCAAAACAATTTCAAAGATCTTGCAAAATCTGCGATATTTCAACGAGTGTGTTGACATTTCAGAAACTAAGGGTCGTGTTGTCGTTATTATTATTATAATTATTTATTTATTTATATACAACATTTGTTTTCTTTCATATGGTTGACGTTTCAGTTGGGGCAATCGAGAGAAAAGGTGACGACATCAAACCCGGCATTCAGATTTCACGGAACCCCACCCTCACCCCCCACGGGAATGAATGAATGGTGATGGGAATAGGGTTCACCATAACAGAACCTATCACCACGCATCAGTTGCAGGAATCTATACTACCACGTCCATTGGCAGATGTCGATGTGGCCACCTGGCCCGCGATTCTCCCTCTCCCCACACTCTCCCCCCTTTGGTAAAAAAAATCCCAGGTCTCGCAGTGGCGCCCATCAACAGGCATCACTTCTCACCGCCCATCGGCAACCGGTGACCGATCCAGCGGGTGGAGGCGGTTACAGGACCACCCCACCAGCCAGCCATGCTCCGACGAGGAAAGGAGGGAGGGAGGAATGGGACACCGATGATTCTGGAAAGGGAGAGGATGAAAGGCGGGTGAGCGGGGCAGGACCCGTGATGAGTCAGTCCCGGCGCAGGAAAGTGGGCCAATGGGGTGGTTGTCCACGAGGGCCTTCGTGAGATGAGGACCCCTGCTTTAGTTTCCTGCAGGCCAGCTGGCAGTGTCCTCTACTCCTTCCACCCGACAAGTGGACTGGCTCTATGTAGGTAATATCCTCCTCCCTCCTGCCACCCGGGCGTAAGCAGCAGGAGGCATTAAAACCCACTTTCAGACCCCATCCATTCACACATTCATCCTTCCATCCATTCTATCCATCCAATGGGGCTACCATGGTGGCATTCTGGCATGGGTGGAGTTTGTCTTGTTTGTCCTGTTCCCCCTATCACCATCATGGGGCCCCTCTTTGTTTTTCACCCACCCCTACATTTCATTTTTGTTTTCACTCCAATGGGGGTTCTAAATATCTTTGTATGATTCTTCTTCTACTTTGCGTGGTGGAGGTCAAAATACTAATGTGTGTGTGTGTGGGAGGGAGGGGATGTCCCCAACTAATGGGCAGCCATGCCCAGCTCTCACACTTTCTCGTTAGGAATAAGGCATTATTCCGCTGGTGGGGACTTTGCAGTGAACATGGGCCAAAAACCATTGACGATATACAACAACAAACCACCCATTTGGTATCTCGTACTTCTCCACAACTCCAATGGGCGAAACCGAACTGATACTGTGCATTCTGGAAGTCCTTATTTAACAACTAATCTAGAAAACACTAACATGCTAAATTAATTATATACAGATATTCCATTTCCATAGCATTGGGTCAGAAGAAAAATAGAAGTGGGTTTTGCATGGATTTTCGAGTTAGTAATGCGAGGCATTTACTTTACTTTACTTTACTTTTATTTTATTTCTAGCCTGAAAAGGGAAACGGGAGAGGTTTATAGAAGGTTTATAGAAGGGTTTATAGAAGGTTTATAGAGGTTTATAGTAGTATTATTTGTTTCCGACCTCCAAGGGCGACGGAATGTTTTTTTTGGGTCTGAACCTCGTTTTTCGTTTACTTTTTAAGTACCGATTCTTGAGGACGAGGATCGCACGTTCCCGCCAGGGCAGAGGTAAGAAAGTAAAAAATAAAAGGTAATGCAAGCGCTGGACGCCATCTGCTGGACGTCGAGAGCCGAAGCGCGGCGGCACTGGTCTCCAAAAGCCTTCCTCGCGTTGCAGCGATTTCCATGGTTCTCATCTCGCTCGGCCTACCGGATCTGTCTCAACTCACTCACTCACTTACTCACTCTTCGTTTGAGTCACTGAGACTCACCTCCTCGCCCTTTGCACCACAACCCATAATTTCTCTTCGCTCGTGTTTGAAGACCTTGCGGAGATTAGTAGTAGGAAGACAGACAGGCAGTGAGTGCGCTTCGGAGGAGGAGGAGGCGGCGCGGTACAAATGATTTGGTGCATGTCTGTGTGCTGATTGAGACCACGTTTGTGCGTGCAGATATTCGTAATACTCGCTGCATTTCTCCGTCGACTGATACAATTATCGTTATTATTGTTTTTCGAAGACTTGTTGAGGAGTGAAGGGGGAGTGTGAGGAGTTTGGAGGAGTGTTCTTTGGCGACTTGGGTGGGAGGATTGTAGGTTTGGCAAGCGGAGTTGATACAGATAATTGGAGGTTTCTGTGGCTCATGAGAGGTTCGTTTGTTGTCGTGAGGACGAGGATGTTGTGTGTTCTCTGACCCAGATTCTTCAACTGCCGTGAACTGGTGGTTACGAGGTCGTAGTGCGGTCAAGATTGCTGGGACTGTAGCGAAGTGGTTGCTTTTTCGAACTGTGAAAGTAGGCGTGGTAGATTGTTCGTCTCAGGCGTTTACAGGCGACCTCAAATCTTTTTTTAGGACAACTTGTTGCAGTGTTCAAGGTCTTTTGGTCCACGATCCTACATGTCAAGCGCTTTGTACAGCCTCGCTTGCGTGAAGGGAGCGTCCTCCCCGTGCACTTCATATGGCTCTCTTGCATGTCAGTCGCAACGCCAGGGAACGAGGACTATCAATGCGGCGGTGGACAACCCCCTGAAGCTGACCAGTTTATCCTCTCCTCGACTATCTTACGCAAGTAATGGAATATTTAATCCTTTGTGTCTTCCCGCAACCAGTAATGGAGTTCCATCAATTCGCGAGGGTCGGTCTCGCCGTCCTTCTTCAGAGTTGTCGCGCCAAGATTCGTATCCACATAGGAGGAGGGGAAGAAGTATTGAACAGCCAGTGCCATCAACCAGTGGGAGGAAGGACGTCTCATATACGAACTCCAGTAGAAGTGCCTCGTTGGGGCTGTTTGTTGAAAGAACAAAGAATGCGATTCTTTGGAGTTCGAAAAGACCCCGTCCCCGTGCAACTGTAATTGAAAAGAAAATCAGGCGCTCTCTGTCTGGTGATATTGAGAAGACTCTTAAGCGTCAAAGAGATCTCACCCAACTCAATCCAGCTCCAGGTTCGTAGTCATGTTTGCACAAGTTGTTGGGCGTGAATTTTGTTCACTTTGTAGAGCTTATGAATCTCACTCACTTGTTAAATATTCTGTGTGTTTGTGTATTAATTGATTGTCATGGTTTCAGGGTCCTTGAAACAAAAAGCGCCCGCGGCACCCGTACCCGCATGGCAACTGTCTTTTCCACACGTTGCTGTTGCAACACTTACGTCTGTTCTCTTTGGCTACCATGTCGGGTGAGTTTGTACATGCACATAGACTAAATAGTAAGTATTTGCTTAGGTGTGGTTTCTGGTGGTTGGTAGCATTATGGATTTGGTGTATTTCTGAAGTTGTAAGCATTTGTGTTACAGGGTCGTGAACGTCCCTCTTCAATATATAGCCAGTGATCTTGGTTTCGCCGGAAGTGCCCTCATTCAAGGTACATATTTCATTCCGACTTTATTTTCCTAATGTGAGCTTGTGGATGTATGAAAATGATTTTTTTCTTCTATGTTATATAAATTGAGCTGAATTTAAATCTTGTTTTGTAATGTGCAGGGCTTGTGGTGAGCATATGCCTTGTTGGTGCATTCATTGGTTGTGCACTGGGCGGTTCTGTTGCTGATAAGTATGGAAGAAGACGAGCTTTTCAACTTAGTACCATTCCTATGATATGTGGTTCCATTGCCAGGTAATTGTTTTTGGACAACTCGTGCATGTTTATGTTTCAGGTAGTATTTACGAAAAAAGTGTTGAGATATATTCAAGCGATGTTCTGGTTAGGTCGTGAATCTTTTCCTTCAGTGCTGCTCAATCATGTTCAATAATTCTGACCAAGTTTCATTTTTTTCGCAGTGCTCTTTCACCAAATGTCTTCTCCATGCTCTTAGGACGGTTTCTCGTTGGAACAGGATTGGGTCTCTCTGGCCCAGTAGCTTCTCTTTATATATCTGAGGTTTGTTTTATGCCCACTTTTCTGGGTTAGGTTGCATAAGAAAATTCGTGGATTTGGGTTGTGTTTGACGAAAGTAGCTCAGAAGCATGCTTGCTTTTTTATCATGCATGTCATTTCAATTTATATCTGTTGAATTCATTGTCTGTATGTTGGTTTTTGTACAGATATCCCCGACTCACGTCAAAGGAACAAATGGCAGTCTTCTACAGATTGCGGGTTGTATTGGAATTCTTGGTGCACTAGTAGCTGGATTGCCTGTTGCGCATGTGGCCGGATGGTACATACCAAACTTGATAATTATGTGCCTAAATCTACAGAAAGAAATATTTCTACGATATGACATTTTACAACACATAATACCTTCGTTAGTTGGCGTCGACGTTGTAGGACTTACAACTTGTAATATCCAATAATAAGTGCTGTGCAATATGTTATGTAATATCTTATCTAACACAATCATAATTCTCGTGTGTAGGTGGAGAGTATGTTTTGCTCTGTCAACCATACCAGCTGTTGTGCTTGCCGTAGCGATGCAATCATGTGCTGAAAGTCCCGAGTGGCTCTTTAAGGTAATGAAACATGTGTTATTTTGACATTCCGCAGATGTCAAGAACGAATTAGTTCTTCTAACGTTTACATCGACAAGTTTGATTCAATTCTTGAATTTACATTTTTCATGTATTGGATGTTTATTTGATAGCATTATGATGCGGATTGTTTGATACTTCCTCTTTTACGCAGCAACGCAAATTGTTCAAAGCAAAGAACGAATTTTCAAGGTTGTGGGGCGCTGAGCACGTGAAAGCTGCCATGGTTGATCTTGCTCGAGGTGAACAACAAAACAAGGGTGGTTCATCTTGGAAGGCTTTGCTTGATCCACGGTATATCAGAGGTACGGTTTGAATTTGTATGAATATCGGAGACTTTTGTCAATCAGGAAATTCGATGTATGATTTTTATTCATGATGATTGATGAGATAATTCATAATTTAGAATAAGCTCTCTGCCCTCATGAAGAGAGTAGTTCTTATGTCAGCAATAATGTGGCTACTAACAAATCGGTTTTGCTTGTACTTGCAGTTGTCACGATTGGGGCAGTACTATTTGCGTTCCAGCAATTTGCTGGCATAAACGCCATTTTCTATTTCTCATCAGCAGTTTTCAAAAGTGCTGGTATTACGTCAGAAGTGGGAGCAAGTGTTGCCGTGGGAGTGGTGAACTTTATAGGTTATCATCAAATACTATTACCAGTGTTATTCTTTTCTGATAAATGGATGTTGCTGTATAGCAGTCCTGCACTCATTGAAGCGTAGATGTTTTGCAGTTGAAATTTAACAAATAGGATTAGATATTATCTTTGATTGCAAGTTTCTTATATTAGTGTTTATTTTGCAGCTTCATGTTTGGCTTGCTACTTGATGGATAAAGTTGGTCGACGTAGTCTTATGATTTATAGTTTCACTGGAATGGTAAGTTCATTCCTCTGTTTATTATGTTGCTGAAATTTGGTGTAGTTGTAAGATTGTGCGGTTTAAAGTTTAATGTATGATTGTACAATTATTTATTTATTGGAATCTTAGTAGATTCCTGAGGGAAGATAGTTTTTTCTCTGTACATTACAGTTTGCACATGTTTGCATCACTCAAATAGTGAATATCACTTCTACTGGCAATGGAAATCTTTTTCGCCAAATTCCAATTCTGATTACGGTACACAGGAATGGTTGTAGTTTCTAAATTACTAAATGAATGCCCATCGTGATGCGTTTAATCTGAAATTTAAGCTTAATTTTTTATTTGCAGAGTTTGGCTATGGCAGCACAAGCAGCTACAGCAACTATACCTGTATTGAGCGCAGCCAAAGGAGCAGTGGCTCTTGTGGGCACTTTAGCGTAAGTTTTCATTAACACTTTTTTGTTCTGAACTGTTCCTCTGCATGTATTTTAAGTTACGCCAGAAGAGTGATGTGTAAATGAAATTTGGATATTGAAATGAAATTTGACAATCTCCTGGGTTTATTTGGATGCAGATTCGTGTTCATGTTTGCATTAGGTGCAGGACCAGTGCCAGCATTAATTTTACCTGAGCTTTTTGCCAATCAAATTCGAGCAAAGGCCTTATCAGTCGCTATGTGTGTTCATTGGGTAAGATTTTGATTTCATACTGTTTTTCTTGGAATTTACTTCGATACCAGCTTTCCTCTGAACTTGAATGTCATTTAGTCTTTGAACTGTATATAACTTAATAATTTGAAATGATGTTTAGTATACTAAGTCAATACAATCTTGAACCTACATACTAACTACTTCAAATTTTGTATTATGCAGGTAGCCAATTTTACAGTCGGATTGACATTTTTATCCTTGTTGAAGAAGTTGGGAACTGGTACCGTATACACCGGCTTCGCAACCATTTGTCTTGCTGCTGCCCTTTTCGTTAATAGATTTATTTTGGAGACAAGGGGTCGGTCACAAGCGGAGATTGAAGCTCTTTTGATGGCAAACATCTAGGCATCGGATCTAAGTGTGACTGGCAGCAAGCACACTTGGATTATTCCTTAAATTTAAATTCTCCTCCTGTTGCAGGAAGTTTCAATACGTTTGGTGAGTTTGATGCACTGCAACTAAATGAAATGGATCAGGGGTATCTGAGAAGTTGAGAGGATCTATAGACTAGTTCAGTATCTCAAAGAGACACACTAAGTCTAGGAGCCTAGTCATTTAGCAATCTCTTACAGATTGACAACCAACTAGAAATTTGTACGACTCGAGATGAGATTTTTTGAATCAATTGTACAGTTTTGAGATGATAGACTGTATTATATCAAGTGGTAAGTAGAGTATTCAAGCGAGTGCAAACAGCTGCAATACAATGTTGTAGCACTTACAAGTTTTGGGTTGGTGTAGATAAACCCAATGAAGAGTAGTGTTATCTATATATTTGGATTCTGAAGATGAACTTTGGTAGAACTTTTGAAAAAATGCTTCTTAGGTTTTACCGAAGCATCTCACTGTAATTTTTGATCTGAAAAATTTGGCACCACGAATGAATTCTAGTGCCAATTCAAGACATGGTGTAATGTGAACAACGACCTCTCTTCAGTTGATTTCTACCAATTACTTATTTAACTTGTGTCATGCAATCATTTAGTATTTACTTCAATGCGATTCCACAAAACAATTTTATTAAAATAATGGTTAACTTTTTCACATGTGTACATTCGCATGTGATGTTTGAATGAGTATTTTTACACAGAATAACTCAACTGATTATGTGTATGTTGTTACATTATTTCAAAACCTCAAATGCTTAAAACAATGATCTTGTGCATTGATGTATTGATTTCTTATAAAGGACTTCTTCTCTTCATAATTTAATCCTAGATGTATACTTCATTTTGCCAAACTTCTAGCAATTTATTGCTCTTAAATTTGTACAATTTTAAATGCATAAAAAATCTTATGCTTACAAGAGATATTATTTTAATTTAAGAAAAAAACATTCAATGTTGGATTGCATCACTGCAAAGAATCTATCTAATAATAAATCTGCAAAATTTGTTAATAATTTCTTAGAATTTATTTGCACCTTAATGCTTCTAATAATTTGTCTATTGCAATAAAATTAGTTGATTTGGAAAACAAGCAAATTATAAATTGATGAATAACAATGTTATTTTGCATTAAATTCAATTTCATTTTTTTTTCTATAAAAGATATGATTTGTGATACAATTATTATTTATTTTAAAATAAAAATATGATAAAATCAAATGTAATATTTCAAAAAACTTGAATATATTTCAAAGTTTTTTTTAAACCAATGAATGTTTTACAATGGTATTAATAAATAAAAATATTAAAGAATTAAATGAAATCAAGATAATTTATTAATTCTAATACAAATGTAATTTTATAGTTATTTTAATAGAATACAAAGTAATTAATAGAAGAAAATTATTAAATATTATTAAATCGTGAATTATTTTTTAATTTTATTTATTTTACCATATTATTTTTTATTTATCAAATCTAGAATAAAATAATAATTCCAACCTTATTAGAATATTATTCAAATTTACAAAATACATTTTGTCAAGGATGCAAATCTCGAAGAAAGAATTCTTCAATACACTTCAGTGTCATTCAAAAGAACTAGAAAGTCATTCAAAGATGATAATATATTGAATTAGAATGGCTATTGCCAAAAACAAGAAGACTAGAGAGTCTTGAAAGTAGACTAAGAACTATAAAGGCATTGACAAGAGTGAGGAAAGCTTCACTCTTGCCTCCATATATACTCTTAATTAAAAGCTATGTGGCAATGTCTTATAAGACCTCCAAAATGTGTTGACTTTGCAGGACATGTATCTTAACTTGCAAGTCAAGTTTTTTATATGTACGCCACATAGTTAACTTGTTCCGCAAGCTACTAACATATAGTTACTTGTTGACCAAGTTTCTATACTATCAATCAATTACAAACACATATAAAGTCAAAACAATGTCAATGAAGCTTTTAGGAAGCTTTTCTAGAAAGTATTATAAAATAAATCTACTTTTATCTACTTCTACTTAATCATATTGATAAATATTAAAATAAATATGTATATCGGTGATATTACCTCCTCTTTTAGGGATGAGTTCCATGAGGAGAGGTCATCATATCTTGAGGAAATTCAAGATGCGGCAAATTGTATTTCCCAAATACTTTGATCTTTGTTTGCTTTGAAGATGGTTGATAGGTCGTCTTAGCCATCAATAGTATTCCATACTAGGATAGAAAGACCATCTTGTTATTTGATTGTTGTTGAGGCCTTCATAACTCTTTTCAAATAAAACATTTGGAACATTATCAAGGGTCATTCCTACGTCTAATAAAATCACCAAATATTGGAAGTTTCTCCTAAAGTCGTGATATCAACCATATTGTATCTTGCCATCTATTTGAAGAAGGATATGTTGTTCTTGAGAATCTTTATCTTGATAACATTGTCTTAAAGGTTGTGACAATTACAATGCCTCATTTGGTAATTTAAGAAGTATAGCTCTTGAGTTGAATCTGTTGGTTGTTGGTTTTCCATCTCCTTAGCGTTACAAATAGACAAAAGTTACAAACAAGAGTAGAAGGTATAATACTTTCTTTCTTAGATCTTATTTCTTTTATAAAAAAGATTTGTTATTCTTCATTTTGGTTTTGATGGATAACATCAATAAAAAGCCTCAACCCTCTTTGCTACATTTATAAGATTCTTTCCTCGTTTCCATGTGTGTTCACTAATATCATATTTATGCAAATTAAAAAGATATTTTAATCTATTTTGGCATTGCTTTAAATCTAAGACTTCTTCCACATCAAATTCTTGATTATTATCCATTTCTATAAGGGAAGTTGGCATTTGTCTTTTTCCAAAGATATTTACTATCTTATATGGTTAAAAAAGAAATATATGGAATACGGGATGGATCTTCATAGATTCTAATAGATGCAATTGATAAGCAATAAAATTGACTTATTGATTAATAGAAAAAGGTCCAAGTCTATGATAGTCCAACTTGTCACAAGGACGAGTGGTCTTGATATTGCAACAAAGTAACTATACCGTGTCACCTATATTGAATTGTGGTTGTTTCTTGCAATAGGCATATGCATTAATCTTTTGTCGTTCTTGATCTTCTTTTAACTACACCTTCATTGTTGTATGTAGCTCTGACAAATGATTTGCCAAATCTTTCACCATAAGATTATCAACTTTTAAAAAGTCAAAAGTATCAAGTTGTGAATGATAACAATAATTGGTAAAAAAAAAAAAAATTTTGAATAGAAAAATATACCAAATTATTATATGCAAACTTTGCCAATGATAAAAGAATTGTCTAATCACCTTGATGATGGTTGATGGTACATCTCAAATATTGCTCCAAAATTTCATTTACCTATACCAGTTGTCCATCAATTTGAGGATGAAGAGCCAAAGAGAGCTTTATATCCACCTTTAAAAACTTGAAAAGGATTTTCCAAAATCTTGATATAAATTGAGTCTTCTTATTTGATATAATATCTTTAGGTAATCTGTGATAGTGATAGATGTTGTTAAAAAAAAACTTAGCCATTTATTTACATGTGATAAATTTTGTATATAGTACAAAATGTGCCATCTTAATAAAACAATCTACTACCAAAAATATAGAATCATACAAACCTGAGATTGAAAGATCTGTGATAAAATCTTTAGAAACAAAAGACTATAGTTGTTTTGAAAAAAGCAATGGCTAAAGAAGTCCATAAGGTCAATGGCGAGGAGTTTTGAATCTTCAAAAAATAACACATGATTATACAAAGTCTTTGATTGCCTTTTATATTTGAGGCCACCAAAAATTTCTTGATAATAATTCCAAAGTCTTATTGTATTCCAAATGTCTAATTGTTAGAAAGTCATGAAGAGCTTGAAAAATACGTAATTATGCCTTGCCTTCTGGAATGTATAATCATCTCTTGAAATAGAGTAGGTTGTTCTTGAACTCAAACTTAGAAGCATCATAAGATTTAAAAGAATTATTCTTGATATCATGAAAAAAAAGATCAAAGAACATATTTCATTGAATTTGCTCAACAAATGTTGAATTAATAATCAATATTAATTTTATTGCTCAAAAGTGAAAATATTTTAGCTTCAAGAAATTTATTCTTTGTTGATCAAAAGATACATCTTCTTCTTTTGGTCCAAGATAAAAACATCTAAAAAGAATGTCTAACAAATCTTATTGTTTTTGAAGTTGATAGGTAATCTTAAAATCAAATCTTGATAAAAGACATGCTCCAACAAATTTGGTGACAATTCAAAACACTTACCATCATAAAATACTTGAGGTTCTTGTCATCTATATACATGGTGATTAAATTCAAGGCACCTTTTAGATAATAACACTATATTTTGAATGAATCCATGATTGTAAAGAATTTTTTGTTGTGGATCTCATAATTAAACTTGATTGTTAAAATTTTTCTAAAATGTAAAGCTTTTATATGGAATTTGTCATCTACTCCCATTTGTGATAATACTGCACTTAAGGCAAAATCTGATGCATCTATTTCCATGAAAAATATCTTAAAAAAGTCAACACAATATAAAATTGGTATAGAAATAAACTCCTTCTTTAAATCATCAAACATTGCTTCAGCTTCTTTATTCCTTTCAAGTTTTCTTTTACAAGTCAAACATGTAAGTAAAGCTATAACTTGAAAAAATTCTTAATAAAGATCTGATAGTAATTGGCAAGCCTAAAAATTATTACACATCTCTTATTATTTTTGAAATCTTCTAATCCATGATAGTTTGGACCTTCTTCAAATCCATTATAAGTCCTTTGTTGAAAATGATATATCCTAAGAAGTCAAATTGAGTAGTATGGAATATATATATTTTTTTAAAATTTGACATATAATCTTGAATCTCAAAATTTTTGTAACACAAAACAAACATAAAGTTCATGCTCTTCTGTATTTTTAGAGTAGATTAAGATGTCTTCTAAATAAAAAATCACAAAATCATTAAGAAATTCACAAAAGACATCATTCATTAGATGTTGAAAAGAAATTGGTACATTTGTGAGTCCAAAAGGCATGATATTATATTCAAAATGTCTATACATGGTTCAAAATGAAGTTTTCTATTCATCTTTTTTTTAATACTTACTAGATTATATGCTATGAAAGTCATGAATCTCGAAGAAATAAAATTCTCAATACACTCTTGTATTATTAAAAGGAACTAGAAAGTCACTCAAAGATGATTTAAGATTAAACTAGAATGGCTATTGCCAAAAATAAGAAGACTAGAAAGACTTGAAACAAGACTAAGGACTAGAAAGGCATTGAAAAGAATGAAGAAGGCTTCACTCTTGCCTCCATAAATAATCTTAACTAGGAGCTACATGGCAATGTCTTTTAAGACCTCTAAAACATGTTGGCTTTGTAAGATATGTATCTTAATTTGTAAGGCAAGTTTTATTTATGTGTGCTATATAATTAGCTTATTTTATAAGCTACCAATATATAGTTAACTTATTAATCAAGTTTCTAATCTATCA